TGGGAGGACTGTAGTCAGCTCGGTGGCATCATCGCAGGATCTGAGCTCGGCGCGGGCATCGCAACAGCAGATTGGAGAGACGAGTGCAGTGATGTTTATTGCCTATGTTGTAGCAGGCAGAGTGCCTGCTGGTAGGACGCTTGCGAGTGGAGGACTTGACTAGAGAGAACAGAAGCAACGACATAGGATTGGGGGAAGAGGGTTGGGGAGGTGGTGGAGGTAGGAGGAAAGGAGTGACGAGTGCAAGTGCGTCATTATATGCTCTCGATCTTCGGTATTCGATTACATAATCACTTTGATATATAGTTTAAAAGTAAAACCAGATTATATTAGAAGACTAACAGAGTGATTGTTAACAATATTACTATATATAATTGCATATTATCTTACTAAAACTACTATAATCAACTTACAAGCATAATGTATCACTTTCATAAGTATTATAATCAATCAACTGCTATTGTATATTACTTTATATACAATTTTAACATATTACAATAAAAGCTAAGTACTTGTGTCTCACATATAATATTGTAGTAATAATGGTATTAACATTACTTGCTTTAAAAAACACTTGTAGTATAATACAATTCTTGTATAATCATTACATTTATATACAATTGTTACAATTTAATTATGTGCCAAGTATAATTGTTATTTTAGATTGTAATAGATATATAACTACATTATTAAATTACATTTGCTATTATTAATTACATTTGTTGCGACTTTTTCGTGATGGGATCCTTTGGTAGAGATGTATCATTGACTGTACTTGTTTGTGGATGAATACTAGTGGAAGCATGGATATCTGGAAGCAGAGCTGAGAGATTGACAGGGGAAGCTTCTCTAGAATAAGTGAAAACAATTTCACTAGCATCCTTGAGTGTTCCATCTGGGTTCTGTGCACATCCAAGCTCCTCAGACATGATGAACAATAAGTTTTAATAGTGGTTTTCATTACATTACACATTTATTTTACAAAATGGAGGTGGCCTGTACAAAAAGTCACACTCTCTGGGTCATGATCTGTACTGTCACATGACCCAAAATTTCCTTTAATTAAGCATATTCTCGATCTCACACCTTAATGCTTAATGCTTAATGCTCTTTATGCTTAATATACCTCCATTTTCCTGCCTACCAACTTGGTGGATCAAATTTTTCATGCTTATTGAGAGGAAATGCTAAACTACAAGTATGCTTATTGACAGGTTTCACTGTATGTATGCACATAACCAATTACTTGTGGATACTCTCTTTAATATGCAGTAATTATTCGTCGGATAAAGATAGAACCAACAGTCATTCTCATCTGTATAGGACCATTTTCCGTGATGGTAAGTCGCCTATTCTCAGAAGATTAGAAATACTAATTTATCTGTAGGACTTCCTTTCTATGCATATCTCTCTAGTTAGTGTCATTTTTTTTCTCAAATTTCTGTCTGTTACTCAGCAACTGCAGCCTTGTCTGTCATAAATGTAGTCATTATAATGACATCTCCTGTGTGTAAAAACTGTCTGAATACCGTTCTTTGCCCTCACGCGTGCAAAATTAGGCCGATCTTGCTACAATTCTTTCAAAGCGAGTAATCTTCCAAAAAATCCGATAACTTAGAGACACTGACTTCAGCTTCAGCTTAGAGCGAGTTATACACTCGGTATTGACAGCAAGGATTATTCTGAGTCTTCGAGGTCTCGGATTTCAATCTTGGGATGAAGAAAGCCGTGTTGATAGGCGTGTTCTTTCTTCTTTCCTGGGAGCTTCGTGCGAAGACCACAGCTTCTAGAGAAGGCGAGTCAATGTAACATCGAGTCGAGGGTACTAGGGCATGGACTACTCTCTCTTGTGTACGAATTCGTAGCAAGCACGGATGTATCAACTGGTTCCTGGTAATGTACAAATTAGAATAGGAGATTAAATTCATGAGTCGAATGTGACTCGCAATACTTTCGGCATTTTCTATAGCATAGCTGGCCCTTATTCGGATATATTTATAAGCTTTTCGGACACATCGCTCTGAGTCGAAAAGCTGGAGTAGTATCTTAATTTCTCAGTGCTCACCATAAATGAAAGTACACTGATATTTCGATGGACAGTAAGGGATAGCAACCTCTGAATTAAAGCTCCAGAGCTAAATAAACTCTAATGCTTCCTCTAGTGTCATGTTGACTGGTAGGCTTGGGTATGGTTCGGTACTACGTCGTATGCAAACTTCAGGACCCTCCGGGAACCCCTCGTCCTCACTCTCGAGTTCTTCATTAGGGTCATACTCAATTCAATCTTCCTGCGTACCTTATCTATCGCTCTATCGGAAAACGTTGCGGTCCAGCCTACGTCTTTCGTCGTCTGTAGCGAATCCAATGATCCGAGCAGGTTGTCCACGATATGTAGCAGAGTGAAAGCTAAAGAAAACGCCGGTCGAAAGTACTATTTCGTCCATACTTCTGAAGGAAGTAGATCCTGCTTTGTTCTTCCAATTGAGCTTCCTCTTTCCAGCGAGGCGGCGCATGTATTTATTCTTCATCCAGTAGCATAGACCCAGGTCCTTTTGAAAAGCCCTGCAAGTTCCGGAACGGTTCTACAATGGTAATTAGTATGCCGTTTGTAAAGAAAGGTGGAAATGCAAATACCTCAGTTCGGCAGTTGAAAGGAGCGCCAGTGGGCGCTTATAAATGTCATCATCTCTTTTTACATGGCTTGATTGCATGGCCTTTATAGTTGTGCGCTGACGAGGGAAAGTGTCCGCGAGAAGTTCTGCTACGTCTTGATCGAAGGAAGGTAGAAATGTTACCCCGAGTAGAAATACAGAGGGAACCAGACCAAGGCACGGGTTAAAGATGGGGGGTGAAGACACCAAACCTGGTGGCTCAAGCGCGAGTTGCAGTCCTGCGATAAAAATAGCCGCATTGTTCCAAATTACTTATTTGGGTGGTCATAATCAAACATCATCTCCGTTCGTGTGCTTATGACTTTACATAACATAGGACGGCCTCGCGTATTGCCTTGTGTATTAATTCTAATGGAAACTTTGTTACGACACCAATACTTACATACCCACCAATAGACTAAGCCCGTCAATGAGCAAAGCATGGCCATACAAGGCACGGATGCAGCGACGAAATAATCCATCAATACATAACACACGATCACAACAGTTCAATTCTGTTCTAACTGTTAATAATGAATAAGTACGGGACATGGTCAAGACGGTTACAGAGAAACAAGTTTCGGATGGCTATCAGGGACATTTAGTTCACCGGTCTCCACGGCTCCTTCCACATGCTCGAGGTTGCCAGAGTATTGGGGATGTGCTTTGAGTCCGCCAAAAATCTGTTCTTCAGGAATCTCGGGGTAATCCTCGTCCTCGCTTTCCAGTTCCTCATTCGGGTCGTATTCGTTTCCGCTGAGCTCGAGCCTCGTACCACCTTGGCTTCGTGCCCTCTGGAAGCTCAAGCTTCTGTCTTACTTTGTCCATGTCTTTCTCGGAAAACCTGTTACGGCGCAACCTGCGTCTTTCGTCACCTTTGACAAATGTTATGAACATCGCGGGCTTCTTTTGATAAGAGCCCGTATTCAAGACGAAAAAGACACGGGTCGAAAATGCAATTTCGCTCGTTAACAATGTCATAATCCCGGAGGCATCCTTGCGCCAATTGAGCCTCCTTCTCTCTGCAACTCGTCGCAAATACTTTATTTTCAACCGAAAACCGTATACCCATGGGCGTCTATACTTGATGGTCGATCGCAACAGAGCACTCCTGTAGGGTATATCAGGCTGTCGTGCGACGACAATGAAGGACCGTACGCTACCTCATATCGGCAACGCTGCCGAGGCCTTTACACTGCACAAGGTAAGGTTTTCTGCCTTCAGTACGGTATGGCATGACTGATGTTGGAGAACAAGATGCGCGGGAGGAAGGTGGTTCAGATCAAGCTTCGAAAACAAGCTCAGATCACGTGATCCAAGTTGTCCCTTATTTGCCGCTAAGCTCAAGTATACCCTTCATATCTTTTCAACTTGAACTTGTGGTCGGTATTAGTCCGAAATCGACGCGTATGTTCCCCCACATATATCCTGCCACTTCTTGCAAATGAATTGTTTGTCTTACTCATGGATTGTTCTTATGTACTATCTAGTATCTACATGTTCTGCGGTGCGGTAAAACTTCATGGACTCGGAGTCTCAGACATCCGTCTGGATGAGGCTGCTCCAATACTTGACTGTGTGGGGCTCTCTTAAGCGTTCGAAAATATCAAATTGGAAAAAACTAGATTAAAATATTTTTTAGATTTATTTAAACCTTAAATTAATGAAAGTTGAAAAACCTGGCTTTTCCAACATGCATAAGAATGTGTCGCCAAATGGCCCGATTATTTTGAGCATGGGTATCGCACTGGTTGAGAAATCGGGAAGAAATGCGTACCATCAGCAATCTCTTGTGGTTAAATATTGGGATATTACAAGGAAAAAATGGAAAAGATACTGTGGATATACACAATCTCGAAACGAAATCTGCAGTCGAGCCACTTGCCAGCGAGTTAAATGTCCACTCCAGACTCGTTCATCTCGGCCAATATATCGGCAAGAATTTTGTACGGATTTTCTGGGCTGAAATTCGGCCGCTCGTAGGGGCAGGTCGCAGTCGGGGAGTTCCTTGACCTCGTTTTCAGGCTTTGCGTCCGGAATCCGGATCGTAATCTTCCCCCTCCGAGCTTGAACCACCGTGGCTTGTTCTCCTTCAGAAGTCCAAACTCCTTCAAAACCCTATCCATTTGTTTTGCTGAGTATTTGACTTTCTTCAACCCAGCCTGTCGTCATCCTGTGCAAACTCCAGTATTGTGGCCGTTCTACCTTGATAATTGACGCCGCGGATGCGAAAATAGATACGCGTCGTGGCCATGAGATTGTCAGATATGTCAAAGAACACGACCACTGGGTGATTCTGCCAATCGAGGCCGTACTTCTCATCATGGCATCGGAAATACTTCCATTTCATACAGTAGCCTTACACACGAATACGTTTGGGTCTATGGTGCCTCTTAGAACTAGTTTTTGGAACCGCGTTCTTAGTAGGTTTCATTAGTCCGATGAATAGACAAAGGATGTGATATAAGGAATCACCTGGTGGTAGTGGTCTCATTCAACGTTTCTTCCGAATGAGAGGAAACTTTCGACTTTAGATGTTGACGACTCGAGTAGCTGCAGAGGAAGATGAGTCGAGCTTAGAGAGAAACTGCATGAAAGATCTGCTTTTGAGCTGTTCGTTGTGAAATGCGTCAATGACATGCCTCCGTGTCTGGTTATGTTCTCCTAACTTGCGTTGCTGAATGAGAAAGAGTTCAAGGGTTACGCATTATCAACTTGAGTTTGTGGCCTTTTTGCCCATACCTTAGACTGTGATCGTTTTAAGCCACCATGTTACATGTATCCTGAATTTCGATAACAGGTAAAACCATTCTTGTTACTTCACTTGGAGATTTCTGGGGCTTGCAACGCAACGTTTGCACTTTTCCTTCACATATTGCCACAATATTCTAGGGAGCATTACACAACTTCCTAGAATGCTCTCTTGAATACTGTGGCCATATGTAGAGAACTTTCAATCATTCAGCCACAGGTATGCACACGTCACCCTGAGATGAGAATTTGGGGTAATATCATTCACATCCACAGTAAAAGTACACTGACAGCTCGACGACCGGTGAGAGATACGAACCTCTGCACGAATGCTCCAGAGTTAAATCAATTCTAACATTTCCGCCACTGTCATGTTGTCTGGTATGCTTGGGCGTGATATTGCCTTGCATCGTAGAACATCTTCAGGGTCCTCCGGAAACTCCTCGTCTTCGCTCTCGAGATCCTCATTAGGGTCGTATTCCTCCCCACTTAGTTCATACCATCTGGGTTTCGTTCCGTCGGGCAATCCAATCTTCCTCCGTACCTTGTCCATCGCTCTATCGGAAAACTCGTTGCGGTCCAGCCTTCGCCTTTCATCGTCTGTAGCAAATCCAATGATCCCAGCAGATTGTCCCCGATATATAGCAGCGTGAAAACTGAAGAAAACGCCGGTCGAAAGTACTATTTCGTCCATAATTTTGAAGGAAACAGATTCCGCCTTCTTTTTCCAATTGAGCTTCCTCATTTCAGCGAGTCGACGCATGTATTTGTTCTTCATCCAGTAGCCATAGACCCAGGTCTTTTTGAAAATGCTCGCAAGCTCTGGAAGAGCCTCTCTGCAATGGTAATCAGGATATTGTGCGAAAAGTAAGGCAGTAGTAATACGATTACCTCAATTCGGCGGTCGAAAGGAGAGCCACTGGGCGTTGATAAATGTCAGCATCTTTCGTTTCAGTGCACGGCTGCATGACTTGTAGTTGCACTTTGGCAAGGGGAAAGTGTGTGCAAAAAGAGGAGCAGGAGCAATGTGCTTTTAAGTTGTTTCTCGCGGCTTTGATGGTGGCTCAGTGCAAAATACGCGTGACATAATAAATGCGGAACTTTATTCACGTGACTTCTCTTCTCTTTCCCCCCACATGGGGCATTTCACAATTCCTTACCTTAAAAAATAACTTACATAATGATAAACATTATTTGAAATTTATTTTCTCATTTTT